GATCACATCAAATATACACTGATGATCTTTGGTCAAATTTCTATACATTACGGGCACTGCTTTGAATTCTAGAAAGAGAAACGCTGAAAATTCAAGCAAGAATGGACATTAGTACAAAAAAGTATAACATATCCGATAAAATGAAATATTAGAGGCAAGAAATTTCTAGATCTTTTTGAGCGATAGTTTAAAATTGTGCGCAATAATATATTTCTATTGTGCTAATTGGCGCATAAGATAAATGTCTAATAACTGAAAAAACCCAGTAATTGAAAAATTTATCATATATTTGCAATTATTAAGATATTTGTCAACAATAATAAAACAATAGCAAATCAAAAATTAAAAGTTAAGTGTTATGTATCAAAATAAGTAATAAAAACATACAATTTTATTAAAAATAATGACGAAAAAATTATTTATTACGGGTTTTATAGGAATAATTATATTATCATTCATCATACTACTTTCAATAAGACATAGTGTCTATGTTGAAAAGTTTGAAAAGTATTTATCTAAAAACTTTTACTGTATTTATCTAAAAATATTATGTGTTCTTATGATGGTAAGAAACTAAAAATTAAATTAAAAATTCTTTTTATTAAAAATTTGCATTGAAACAAAAAATTTTAATATTTAATTATTGTACAATCAAAATGTTAGATGCCGAGAAATTGAATGCGTATTCAGTTATTGGTTAACCCATGTTTGACACGTACGTCCATTTAAAATTATAATAACCCAGACAACACGCTTGTCAGAATGAAAACTTTAAGAGAACTTTTTCAAGAAAACATTTAGATATCTTGGAAATTATGTCAAAATGGTATCTGATAATCATCATTTACTAGAGGCATCTACTACGAGAGCTCTTTGAGATATCTCATTTGAGACATTTCTTAAAAATGTTATCTTTATGATATCATGCTACATGATATCAGTTTAAACTCTCATGAAAGACATCATTAATGTTGTCTGGTCTCTGAACCGTCCAAATGCGCATGCGATTCGCCACCGGGTGAATGTGCGCCAGCCGTGTGCTGAAGTTGCGTGGATGCATCAGTCGTCAAGGACCAATATGTTTTTGTCTTTTATTGATTATACGATTTGTCTCCGAGTTTGTCTTGAGAGAAGACGTGTTCCTTACTATAATAAATAATTTCCGTTCTGCTAATCCTCTCTCTCTCTCATTTATTCGCGGCGTGGAACGCGAGTGAGCGAAGCGTCGTACCGTCGGATACGCGAGTGCGCGGAGTGACGTCCCGACGGAGAGGCTGCGCGCCGACGGGGACATAACATTTGGGGGCTCGTCCGGGATAGAATGGCTACACGACCGAAGAGGCGGATTGTGGAGGTGCCAGAGCCGGATGCGGGAACGGCAGCCCTTCATGCGGTGCTCGAGGAGGTGCGTCGTCTGCGGGAGGAGCAGACGTGACAGGCTGCCGAGTTTTCAGAGAAGATTCGGCAACGAGACAGAAACATATTGGTCCTTGACGACCGATGCATCCACGCGCCGCAACTTCAGCCCACGGCTGGCGCGCATTCACCCCCTATACATATAACACGTGTGTTATGTAACAGTTATATTGTTGAGTAGGAAATTTTAACTTACAGTTATGTAACTGTACTTTGTGTTTGCTGGGCTCTAATCCCTATTTCATAACCCACACGCGCACGCGTATACGCACACGTATGCACAAAAAGAGTTTAACACTTTTGTAAGGAAAGAGGAAGAGCGCAATTAACATTTGGTTAAGCAGCGCCAAGATTTTTTAATAAACAATGATATATGTCATGAATCAGGATCGATATATAATGTATCCCATAATTAAGTTAGAACAGGCGATCTTTTAATAAAATATTTATTTGTATTAAGTTTATTTGCATTAAATTTTTATGGAATAAGTTAAAAATTTATCTCATTAATGTTATTATTTCCTTTATTTCTTCCGATAAAATTTTATGCTCGATTGTTTGGCTATAACATTTTAATATAAAAAATAATAAAGTACCCAGTTTGTATAACATAAATATTCAGTTTAGTTTAGTAGCGCCATTTGATATCATTATTTTTGTAGAGAAGATACTTTGGAGGGGGGACAAAGAAAATAAAAATTTTTTTTAAATAAAAGATATCCAAATAATTAAATTATATAATTCTTGATTGGATGACACTTATACTTGGCGTCTTTTTAAATCTTTTTTATTAATAAAGGTTATTTTTTAAGGTGATATCACGAATTTTGTAGTTACAATTACACTGATATTATTGAAACATCTTTTTTCCGTGTACATATGAACATTCGTATGACCATACATAAAGCATGCATGATTTCATTTCTACTCGGGAGTATATATCCATAAATTAGTTATATAAAGGGAATCTTAAATGGATGTCCACTGGACGTCCGTTTATGCATATCCAATGTATATCTTTGTATAGATGCACAATGGACGATCTTATTATGTCCATGGACGTATGGTAGTAAAATGAACGTAAAACATACGTCCATTAGATGTACGGTGCTATTTGGGGATTGAGTGCACTTATTGTTAGATGTTCGTTGGATATGCCGTTGTTGAGATCCGAAAATCTGTGGGCCTGTCACCTCGCGTACTCGCGTAATAAACTACTACACAGTTGGTCTCGCGCGCGCGGTCCTAGCTAGCTTATATTATATTTGGCGCGAGACACTACCATGTCTCGTGATACCGTTTCAGTCAGGAGACTGTTTTGCGCGCCCTTACGCCCATTTTTCATTTTGGAACTATTTTACAATGCACCTTCTGACACCCACAGCGGAAAAATTTTCTATAAATAACTACAAAAAAATTGACTTAAAATAGAAATTTGTAGAAATTTTTATATCTTCGTTTGAAACATTTATTTTTTTGTAAAAATATCTACGAAATAGTACCACAATGTTCTAAAATCAAGAAATTATTACAAGTAGTATTTCATGAAAATGTATAATTTTGTAAAAATTAGTACAAAGCTTTCCTAGTTTTAAAATTTTCAGAAACAATAAAATCTTAAAGAATTAAAACATCTGCCTACTTGTACAATATTACAAAAATTAACAAAAATGTTCCAATTCTAGCATTTTTATGTTGATTTTTATAACACTTTTTTCAATTTACGGAGAATTTCTTAGATTCTGGCAGTTATATGTATTTAATTATTTTGTAGAATTTTGTAGAATTATTTCCGGCAGAGACTGCCGATAAAGTCTCCACTTTATGCGTGTTCATGCTATGCCTAATTTTAAAGATTGAAACGGCGACTTTTATTCGGCGTTTTTTGGGTCATTCGTCCACTTTTAGTCGACTTTTGTCTTTAAAAAAGTCGACTTTACGCCACATCATATTATGATACGTACTATAAAAGGTTTTATATGAATATTCTCAGTATATTATGGGTTTGTTTTCTGTTCCTGCACTGGTAAACTAGTGCAGTAAGCTATAATGAAAAAAAGTATGCTTGTCTTACTCTAATTTATTACACTAGTTCACCAGTGCAGGAACAGAAAACAAACCCTAGCTATGTATGATCACAGTACATTCAGTATGAGTATAGAATATTCATATGATATCATGTGCGACTTTTCATCAACTGTACTGTTAGGGTAATGTCTATCCAGACAAACTTGCACAAATACATAAGCATATGCATAAACAAATTGATTGGTTTATTTCCTTGTGCATGCACTTGAGGCCCAATGGGCCATCGCACACAAATTGCATAGCTGTATTATGCAGAGCATAAAAACCGTTCAAACTAATGATCATCGAGCATTGAGTCGCCATATTGATTTACATAACATGCTCATTGATCTAGACTCTTATGCGATTATCCATTAATGAAGAACTTGAGTCTGTCACTTAGGAAATCATATTCATTAGTACATATCGATTGTCTTGTGCTACCGGGACATGAAATCATTCTCGATTGAACATGTATTTAATTTTCCAGCCCGAGCGACGCGAAGCACTGGACACATAAAATTCTATTCTTATTTACAAGTTGTAAAATAGAGCGCCACACTTATTTTTCGAGCTTTACAGTAGCTATTTTTATAATTGTGGATGGATCAGCAAGCGCGGATTCGTACTCAGCTTCTTAGTATAATTTCCCTCACCAGAGAAAACACCTGTATTTATTTCGAACATTATTCTTTTCTCGTCCCTTATATTCCAGCGACAGAACACAATGCGTTTGACAAGTTTCTATCCATCCAACTCATGCAATTCGAGTGAATTCTACAAATGCTAAACTTATCGAACATGATATAACAGATGTTTACATAAATATATACATATATTTATATTTCCACTAAAAAATACATGCTTCTTACTTATATATCTCTACATTCCTTCTCGCATCATGATGTATTTGCGATGCCGCAGACCTTTTGGTGATAATTCGGATTCTCGAGGCACTCGACGAGAAACGCGCCCAAGTTGTGTTTGGAGATTGCTCGGCCGGGTGAAGAATCGAAGGTGACGGTGTACTTGGACTTTGGTGTCTCTAAAGAGAAATAACATTCGTTAGAATCCTCCGCGAGAACAATCATGTGCCTCGTCATTTCATATTATCCAGACGTACCTGCAATATGTGGTGGCAATATCGCCACCCACTTCAAGCCACTCGATTTGATCATATCAAACATGCGCTGGTGATCTTCAGTCACATCTCTAAACATAGCGGGCACTGCTTCAAGTTTAAGGAACAGAAACGCTGAAAATTCAAACAAGAACGAACGTTAGTACAGAAAAGTATCGCACGTACGATAAAGCTGAATATTTAGACGCAACAAGTTTCTAGATCTTTTTAAGCGATTATATTTCTATTATGCTAATTGGCGCATATTCAGCAGCTTTGCTCTCATAATATTATATCTCACTTGATAAGCATACGGAGACCAGCTCGACATTATGCGCTTTCATGGCATCTATTATATTCTTCATGCCTTGAGATAGGACGGTAGTAGGGCCTTAAAAGTGTCAAGTGGATGAATGCAACATATCGTTATTGTAAAACAAAGAAAGATGTACATGTATATACAAAGTTCGTAAAATATATACGCTGCTTACCCAAGTCCTCCCTGGTGCCAAGTACTACCACGACCAAGTCTCTACCAGCCACCGCGTCTGCAACCTGTTTCGCGTCAGTGACATCTCCGACGACCGATTCAACCTTACTTTTAAGATCCTCGGGAATCTTGGCCTCATCTCTCACAAAGGCTCTCACCTCCAGGCCTAAACAATCGGAAAATATTGATATGACACTTGATCTAAGTAGATAAAAAGATAGCAAAAGATCATACACATACAAAATTACATAAAAAAATCACATTCCTAGTACAATTTAATTAACAAGATTATAAAATAGAAGAAAATGTTAGCTACATTTAGTTTAATGTTACTGTAGACTCTGTTCGTGAATTTGTTAGATATGTTGCATTATTTTGTTACACTTTCATTTTGTTTCTTTGAAAAGAGAACACAGGAAATTACTAACTATTCGCTAATTGTACAACTTATTTTGACGTACTACCCATACAGCACCGAAGCTTTCAGAAACATTGCAACATTGCAACAATGCTTTCTGAAATGTTTCTGAAAGCTTTGGTGCTGTATGGGTATCTTCATGTAGACACATACTCATCCTGTCTCGTGATTTTAACACATTTAAACGAGATACACTATTGTTATCGCACAGTTAATAAGACAAATCAATAATTACAGATCATCGAAATCTAAAGATAAATCCATGACTTGCAATTACATAAATTCTAAATTGTCGCGACCATTATGCATCATACAAATTGTCGTCACTTTGTTTGGCAACTAGGCTCGCTTTTCGTACAGCCAAAATGCTTGTAACTTTTTCTCCTTCCTTTTCTACCAATTATATGTACACGCATCCGCTTCGTTTAGAGCACGGAAGACGCGACGTGATGCAACCGCAGAGAGTCACCGCGACCGTCGCTGGCGACAATTCTGTGGAAGAGAAAAAGAACGGAGTGTAAGAAACAATTTGGAAAAAGAGAGTTACTGTTTTCCACGGCGGTTCTCAGGGAGCAGAGGCCGGTGTTGCCGGTGCCGCCGAATATTACGACTCGCTTTTTCATCTCGCTACCGAGCTATGATGCACGTTATCGCGGGGTACGTTCATTTATATCTGCCTTGCGTGAGGTGGATGACGAATCATTTTTTTTATAATTTTTTTACGAGCGTCGCAGAAAGAACCAACATCGTCACGCCTAGTGCAGATTGCGCGCAGCAAGCGGCAGGCGCCGAGCAGCAGCCAATCAACGAAGAGATATTTTCTACGCCACTGCTGACGCTTCCGAAAAATTCAACAGTGTCGGATTTTGGGCGAGCAACAAGGGGTGCTTTCCAGCTACAGAACACAGTCATACACTGTGTGACACAAAGGGTTTGTTTTCTGTTCTTGCACTGGTGAACTAGTGCAGTAAGCTAGAATGAGAAAAAATATGCTTGTCTTACTCCAATTTATTGCACTAGTTCACTATTGTAGGAACAGAAAACAAGCCTAAAGCCTAGTGCTGACTGCACGCAGCAAGCAGCAAGCGTCGAGCAGCAGCCAATCAACGAAGAGATATTTTCTACGCCACTGCTGACGCTTCCGCAAAATTCAGCAGTGTTGGATCCTCGCTGGGAGGTGGAGCGACGCGCGAGATAGGCTGATGGCAGACAGCCATCCGTAAGCGCTTACGGCTTAAGTTTTTCTCTGCCTTACCGTAAGTTTACGGCTTACGGAAGTCCGTAAGCGCTTACGGATGGTTGTCTGCCTTCAGCCATACTATGTTTATGTTTCGGGTCGCTCGTCGCTCG